ATCCTTTCCCCTGATCTCTGTACAGCTGTCTTCGGAGGAGACGTTGACCAGATTGCTCAAGTTGGGAATGTCAAGGTGTCCAACTGGAATCGAAGGTGCCGAAATGGGGCGTGATTGCTTATGGGTTGGGCAGGGAGCCAGGTTCCTGGGGGCAGAGGTGTCTTTCAGGGGGTTGGAGTGAACTTTTTTTTGGGGTAATGCATAATTGTGTTTGTGTAAGAAGAATATATCTATTTATATCTCACACAGACACACACATTTATTTTTAAACTGTGTGTGTTACAATCCATATGTATACATCTCTGGCCCTGTGTGTGAACTTTTTTTTTGGGTAATGCATAATTGTGTTTGTGTAAGAAGAATATATCTATTTATATCTCACACAGACACACACATTTATTTTTAAACTGTGTGTGTTACAATCCATATGTATACATCTCTGGCCCTGTGTTTCTGTGCGGTTGGGAGAATACGTAATATTTTTGCGTGAATGCTGTCCTTTCAGTTGTCTAATGGGGTTTATGATTATTGATTACGCGCCATAAAGTCAGCGTCAACTATTAGCCACCAGATAGACAGATTTTTCTCCAGGACAATCTGTCCTCAACCTGGTCCTTCAGGCCTTCCAACGGTGGCCACTGAAACGGAGTCCCTCCACCTTGCCGCTGGTCATCCTCTACTTCTCTTTCCTTCCACCCTTCCCAGCATTAGAGCTTTCTCCAGAGAGGTGGTCTTCACATAATGTGTCCAAAGGAGGAGAATTTGAACCTGGTCATTTGTGCCTCGAATGAGAACTCTGGGTTGATTTGTTCGATGATCCATCGGTTTGTTTTCTTAGCTATCCACGGTATTCTCAGGAGTCTTCTCCCACCCCAAAGTTCAAAGGTGTCAAGACTCTTCCTCTCCTGCTTCTTTAAAGTCCAATTTTGCACTTCCATAGAGTGTCACAGGGAATACCACGGGTTGCGTGATTCTGATGTTTGTAGGTAGAGGCACATCATGGCACCTGAGTATCTTTTCCAAGGCCTTCATGGCTGGTCTGCTGCGTTTTATTTCCCGACTACTGATTCCTTTACTGTTGATGGTTGATTCTAAAAGTCAGAAGCTCTCCACCCCTTCCATGTCTCCATTGTCAATTCTAAGGCTAGTCGCTGGACCTGTTGTCATTCTTAACTAAAACCTTACTTCCATTTTTTCACCGTGTTCCTTGACTTTCATTGCTAGAGTAAATTGGGTCTCTAGGTCTAGATATTGTCCTTAAAAAGGGGTGTGTGAGAACTGGAGAGGTCGCAGCTGTAGCCTGGACAGGCACGCGCACAAGTGTGTGTGCATGGTTATAGATACCCACTAAAGTCCACTGTGATGTGCAAAGCAAGGCATGTAATCGTGAAGAAAGTTGCACTTATAGTTCACCCGGGAACACACCCCTCCCTAGCTTTAGAAGCTTTGTTCAAGGGGGTGGGCCTCATTGAACACACGTACACATGTGCGTCCCCAAATCCAGATCCTGCCGGGTCCTCTCTTTAATAGAATTAATGACCCCCTGCTACGGGGAGGGGAGAAAAGGGAACGAATACAATTCACAGCAATTGCTTCAACCCTTGAATCCCTCATCTGCCCTGTAGAGAGGGGGGCTCCCTCTCCTGCCTACCCCCCACCTCACCCCCCAATTTCCTGGACCTGCCATCCTCCTTAAGCCCCTCCTTTTTGGCCCCAGCACACAAGCTGGCTTTCAAGCACTGATCGGCATCAGCCCCTTCATGCATTTTGTTTGTGTTTTATGGTGGGGGCGACTTTATGGCGGTGTTCTCACATGCGTATCAAGTCCGGTCAACCCGTACCCCCTGAAATGGCCCACCCGGCAAGGATGTGGTTTGCTTATTTGTTTGGGGGGTCTGCAAACCCGAACTTTTGATTTGATGTAAAGTTGCACAAGCAGAAAACGGGTCGAACCGGTAACTGGGTTGGGCCTCTAAGGAGCACGGTTCCTTGGGGTCAGTGCCAAGGGGACAGAAGTTAAAATCCTTTCAGAAAGCCCCAGGTCTACTCAGAAGTAAGTTCTGGAGAGTCCCATGGGGTTTACTCACAGGGAAGGAGGTATTGCCACGTGTGGCTCTTCCACAAGGATTGGACTGCAGTTGCCCATCAGCTCCAGGTTCAGTTATCCGGAAAATGTGCCTTCCGAAGAAGCTTTAATGCACGGGTGGCTAAATTTATAACTGTTGCCCTTACTTGGTAGAGTTGGTAGGCCAAAGGGTTGGGTCTCAGTGCCATCCAGAAATTGCTTCCTCAGGCAGGTTAGCAAGGATAATGGGAGCTGTAGTCCAAAGCTGCTCAGAGAGCACCCAGTCAGAGGGACCTTTGGGGGTTATAATTTTTGCGTGGCTTGTTTTACGGGTTTCTCACTGAGGGGTCTAGCGAGATGAAGATGGGGAATAAACCACATCTGTTCCATCAGGGCTGGCTTCTCCAGCTGTGCGGTAATACCGGCCTAACTCGGAGGTCTCCCTATCCAGCAATAAGCATCAGGGCTTCACCAAAGCTCCGGGTTTTAAAAAGCTCGGCCTTGTAATCCAACGTATTCCACGGAGGAGGTGCGGCCAGACTCCTGATCTTTCGCCCCCACCCCCCCTGCCCGACCAACGCGGCTCTCCTCCTTCTCCCGGCGTGGCGCTGGGCCCTTTTCGTCGGAAGCCTCTTGGACCGCTCACCCGCTCTCTGCTCTCCCCCCCAGATTACCAAGGCGATTACTACGGCCCCGGGAGCAACTACGACTTTTTCTCGCACGGCCCCCCCTCGCAGGCGCAGTC